CAGCAACACCAGTGAGCGCAGTGCTGGGTGTCAGCAACACCAGTGAGTGCAGTGCTGGGTGTCATTTCAGACCTTCATGCCGGCTTCCTCACAGACTGGCTGGAACATGTATGTGATGATAGGTATCATTTCTACCACACAGTTAGGAAGGGAACATGCTTAATGTTTAGGATGGATACAATAGATGCTAAGAAGGCATAATTTACCCCATTGGATACATTTTGGCAGCTGGACCCCATCTCAATAAGGAAGCCCAGCATTTCTGACCTCCTCAGAGTGCAGGCACGGTGGTGTAGGGTGACCCCAGGCCCATCTCTGGATGTTACCAACTGAGACTTATTTTAAAGAAATGAAACATAAAAAGGCATCTTAGAAAAATATTTTGAAATAAAGTTTATAAAGATCTATACTTTTAAATAAAATTAATGAATTCTATTATCAGGTCTCATCTTTCTTCTTGGCAGATGTTGCCTTCCATTTTTAAACACTTGCCAAAGAAAAAACCTTTGCCAACTCACATTGATGGGTCTGCCTGTTTCCGATCAGAATTCAGAAACAATGCCAAGAAATTATTGTTTGTCTTTATTGCTTAATCTAAAAACTTTAAGTAAAAAGTAGGACATTAAATTTATTTTTAAATAAATTAATACAAATAAGGCTAGGCTATCACTCAGTGGTAGAATGTTTGCTACCATATGCAGGGTCCTTGGTTCTGTGCCCAGAAACATGTGTGCACACAAGCATGAACACACACGGAGATAGAGAGATCGATGACAGAAAAGGGAGCAGACACAAGAGAGAAGAGAGACGAATAAAATACAAGAAGATATTCTTACCTGGTCCTCAAAAGACAGAGCCTGGGCAACATCTCTTGGGAACCCATCAATCACAATGCCTTCTTCATCGGGTATTTGCATCAGTTTTTGTTTTATCTCCGTAATTGTTGTCTCCTTTAACACAAAGATGAAAACCTACGGTGTATTCCAGGCAGGGACAATTATTTTTTGCACAAGGAGAGACACTCATGCAGTGATACCTGTGGGGCCAGCTCCCCGTTGGTGATTATCTTGGCGATCAGACTCCATTTTCTGTTACTGCTGGCACTGTGGATTTTCTTCCTCAGTAATTCTCCCACTGAAATGTACTGGAATCCGTACCGCTCGGCAATCTTCAAACTCTGAGTCCCCTTTCCGCTTCCCGGGCCACCTGGCATTCGGAACAGGCAAACCTATGACCTTGTGCAAAGAGATGCTCTCTCCACGACAATGACTTAAAACACGCTCAGTGTCTATTTCTTATGAAAGGAAATTGGGCTTGTATCTTTGTATTAAACACAAGTTTCACAGTGATTTTATCTTTTCTTTTGCATAATAATCAGAAGTTTCCGGTGGCATAAAGCACCGTTCTCCTCCATCTGCTTTTCACTAAGACGGAAAGTTACTTTGCTATAGGTACTAGCTTGCATGCATGGGAATACTTCCAATATGTTATTTCTTTTCCTTCTGTGGTTACTAGAGAATAAACGATTGATTTGTCAATTAAAGAGAAAAAATTCCCCATTTTAAAGAAGTATCTAGCTGACTATCTACATTAAAGATTAATTGAAGAAACCCACAGGTTCATAAATCTTGAAGGGATTATTTTCAGTTTGTTATAGAGACTTACTGCGATGTTACAGTGGAAATCTAAGACTGTGAACTAGGTGTTAAACAGAATTCTAATTCTGCTTTATTGAAAATTGCTCTAAAATGTTTCCGTTTAGTAGCCCTTGACCTTTTGTTTCTGGTCGTTGTCATTACCCAACTCAACATTTCTGAAATGGAAGCATGCAAGCCAAGTCAGCAGCACCGGAGAGTTTGACGCTCGCTGCCGCACCTATGACGAGAATGATCTTGGGTCGAGGCCTCGTGGGGTCAAAGACCTCATACTCCTCTATCAGCTCTGCCGTCTCAGACAGGTCCGTGTCGCTCTCGATGGAGAACTGGTGGATGGGAGGAAGCCGGTCATAGCGTCGATAAGGAAAGTTGGAATTTTCAGGCATTACTGCAAAAGAGTAAGATAAACTTGAAAAGGGAAAAAAGGGCCGAGCAAACCACTTTTCACAGTTGACCAAGTAGTACAAAAAGTTGTGTAAATTAGCCAATCCCTGGAAGAAGGGAGGCTTCCTTAGTGACCAGCAAATTTTTTTTCTTAAAGGGGCAGAGAGCCGACATTCTGGTTTTCTAGAACCACACCATCTCATACTCGACAGCCAAGGTAGCATGGGTTTGGTCCTAGACCACTCCTAAGTGAATGAGGGGCCAGTGTTTTAGGAAAACTTTATTGACACAGATGGTGGGCTGGCCTGGGCCACTTGCACTGAGAAAGGATAACTTTCCCGGGCTTAGCTTCATTGTATTTCACAGCCTCTGCCAAGATATTCTGGGATTTGAGAACTTCACCTCACCCAGGTGCCCAGGGACTCAGTTCCTGTGCAGAGTATACTCCGTTCACTCTGCAAATATAGACACGCACTCGCTGGGGGGGGGGGTGGCTGGCTGTAGAATGTTCAGTGACACAAAGATCACATGTCTAACTCATAGTACCTTTCAATATCATGGCATTCTATGGGCTCAACCTTTAGTGCTGTGGTGCTTTGGAAAAGAATGCCCCCATGGGCTCATCTTTGCATGCTTAGTACCCAGCTGATGAACTGTTTGGGAAGGATTAGGTGTGGCCGTGTTGGAGGTGTGGAATCACTGGGCTTGGACTTTGATGTCTCAAAAGCCCACATCACACCCAGTGCCTCTCTCTCTCCCTGTTTGCTGCCCAGGGACCAGGATGTAAAGCTCTCGGCTACTTCTTCAGCACCATGCTTGCCTGTCTGCTTCCATGCTCCATGCCATGATAACAACAGGCCAATCCCCTGGAACTGAAAGCCAGCCCCCAGTTAAATGATTAAATGCGTCATTTCATGAGTTGCCTTGGTTGTGGTATTCCTTCAGAGCGGTAGAACAGTGACTAAGATGGATATCTTTAAGTTTGTTGACCTACAATGAAACGATGCACATATGAAGATTTAAATTTATGTCTCCATTGGCAGCAGGCATTTGCCCTTTATTTCCAGATGTGTCTGTATGTGGAGGCTGTTTTAGTAGGAGACAAAGCTGCAGCTGTCTCCTTAGTGTCAGTGGAAGTGTAGAGCCTGTGAGCGCAGATATGACAGCCACATACCCACCAGGCAGAAAGGCTACGGTTCAAGTCTTCCTGGTAAACTCTACAGCGGATGAAGGGATGGATAAACCCACTTGGGCTGGAGTCATAAGAAATGATATGCAAGAGGGGCAGGGTCAGAAGGTAGAAAACAGGCAGAGGTGATGAAATGCGGGCATCAGATCCCACTGACAACATGAAAGTGAAGAGTCGAAATACAAAGCACCCATGTCCCAGTGGTCCAAAAGACAGACCTGGCAAGCTCCAGACAGGCAGGCAGATGGGATCAGTCATCGTCAATATATAGCTCACGGCTCCTTTTCTCATGCCAGGCGTTGTTATTGCACCCAGGATACAAAGAGAACCCTAGCTACCCAACAATCCTGGCAGGAGGGAGATGGACATCTACCTGGCCTTCGGCAGAGCTTTTAATAGTTGATAGCTTTCTAAGCACCACACAAAGCGTCACCTCCCAAGGAGCTCATCAGTTGGAACTTTGCATTCTCCAGTGATCTAAGATGTTAAATCATTTGCCTAATGACTCACTAGACTTTGATTCTGCTAACGAAGTCTTCAGACAGTGGCAGACAGTCCTTAGAAAATGTGAGGAAAGGCATTGATTATAGTAACCTGCTCTGCCTTAAAATGAAATAATTTAAAGATCTGTCCACCAATCACTTGCCTTGGCTTTATAGTATTTTCATTTAGGGAAGTAGTTTGCTTAGTTGATGAAAATATTTTATGTTATAGACTAATTTTTAAAGATAATTGTATGTTAGTATGCCATTGTCAATATACTTGCAAAAATTCATGAATCACTACATTTCTAGAGATATTTAAGTTTGGGGGCAATTACCAGTGTTATCAAATTTAACAACCTATTCCACCAATTATGGTTTACACATAGGAAGGGTGGAGCTACGGTTCAGTAGGTAGAATGCTTTTCTCACTTGCATGAGGTCCTTCTGAGTCCAGTATTTTAAAACAAAAACAAAGAATGCAAAAGATAAATAATTTCATAACTCAAAAATCTGTAATAAAAAGATAAATTAATTTAGAAAATGTTTTGCATTGTCCTAGTTTATATTTCAGATATAGGACAGCATGGTGTAATATTTTCTTGACCACAGTCCATAGAAAGGTCTATGATTAATGAAAATATAATTAGCAGCACAATGACCGCTGTGTGGACAAGGAAGGAGCTTCTCGCTCTGGAGATATCTCTGAGAGAATGATATTTCTACTTTCCCCTTATGGAGCTCTTAAAAATTAGCACACATGACTTTTCCCCTACACTTCATTCAAATCAATCCTAACTGAGTCGTTACTGATGAGGCCACACAGACTAAGAATTGTTTCCTTCTTGCATTTATAAAGAAGGAAATTGGTTTCATCTTCTTGGTGGGCCAGAAACCTCTGTGAAACAGCATTTTAAAATCTGTTTTTATTATTTATTTATGTGCATTTCTGTGTGGGGTATGCACAGGGAGTGCAGGTGTGTGGAGAGGCCAACAGAGGGCAGTAGATCCTCTGGAATGGGACATATAGACATTTGAGAGCTGCCAGCCATAAGTACTGGGAACTAAAGCCAGGTTCTCTGGAAGAGGGGGAACCGGTCTTAACCATTGAGTCATTTCTACCAACATCACTGTACAACAATTTTTGAACATGGCTTAAATTTTGAAAAGATAATCATCTTGGTCACTGGAGAAGAATTAGTTTAGTGTCCCCTGATTGGAGCCAATTTCGCATTTGCATACTATTATACTTACAACTTCATTCAGCCAAAAAGGCTGATTGGCCCATGGTTTCTGAAAAAAACGCACACTTCAGAATGAGATTGAAAAACTTAACGTTTTTTGCTCCAAAAGACTATAGCTCCCACTTCTCAACTGACACGGTCAGCCGATTTATCTCTGCGTCTTTCACCCAAGTGACAAATCTATTGTATTCAGTAGTCACTTAGTGAATCTTTATTAAATAAACCTTAGAAGTCATCCATGCACTTATGTAAACACACTAATGTGTACCAATTCTTGGAAACAACATTAATGATCAGCTGTTCTTTCTAAGTACTAAAACAAGGCCGAGTTGCTACACACTAACTACCAATTTGATCTGCATTCCACTTGTGTATTTGGAGAAAGCTTATTTGCAATTTTAAAAAATAAAGCCATAATTCTTAAATTACGTTGCAAAATAATGAATTTGGTAATATAGATTCTGTATAAATTTTCAGAAAATTGCCAGTGTGTTGTTTTTCCCCCTTATCATAAATGGTATTATAGAATTAGTAGCAGAAATAGACAAATTCTACCAAAGCACTCAGAAATCCAGTCATTAAAAGCACTCTCTCCGGCCTGCAAGGAGTGTTTTTAGGAGACCTGCTCTCCCGTGAGACGTCATCTTTCCACGCACACATTACCATTTCTGAGGAAGGATCTCCGAGACTGTCCTCCGTTCAGCGGCGGCAATGTCTTCTTCTCCTGGCTGACGAATGTGTCCCACTTCACCTTCTCACAGCCTCCGAGCTCCTTGACTTTCTGTAAACAACTTTCCAAGTACTCTACGGGGTCTTCCGGTTTGGAACACATCAAGCCATTCAGAAGGCTCTGAAATACAGATATATAAAGCAGAAATAAAATCTGTCTGGGCACCGTGTTCTAGTTTGCTTCCCGTTGCTATGACAGACATCATGACCATAAGCGTGGGAGAGAAAGGGTTCATTTGGCTCAGGCTCCCACATCACAGTCCATCGCTGGCCTCAGGCAGGAACCTGGAGGTAGGGACGGGAGCAGAAGCCATGGAGGAAGCCAGTTTGCCCATCCCGCTTTCTTATATAATCTGGGATCACCTTCTGGGGAGGAGTGGGGGTGGCACCACTCCCAGTGAGCTGAGCTCTCCCACAGCAATTGCTTCAATTGCTAATGAAGAAAATGTCTCACAGGTTTGCTTCCAGGCCAGTGTGATAGAGGGATTTTCTCATCTGAAGCATTGCTCTCTTTAGATGACCTTAGCTTGTATCAAGCTGACAAACTCACCAGCAAGCATCTGCTTTGTTAAAATGTTGTTATGTTTTATCTCTAAATTCTGGGCTGTCTTCAGCCTTTTCATTTGGTTTTTTGTTTGCTTGTTTTACTGGTTTTTTCATTACACAAAATAATGGATTTTATAATGCTATTTCCATACCTGTATGTGTCTCATTGTGTTTTGGTCATGTCTGTACCCCATTACCCTCTCTTGGCTCCGCCTCCCACCGGTCCCCTCCTACTTGCAAATGATCCTTCCATACCATATATATTTATCTGTATAGCTACGTCTTGATTCCATCCATGATACAAAATATGCACTATTGGTCATTTCCCTACGTCCCTCTTTCCCATTAGTCCCCTTTCTCCTCACTTTGATTTTCATGACATTTACTTATCTGTTTAAATCTGGAATTTTACATTAGCGAAAGCCTATGGTCTTTTGTCTTTTCAGTCTGGCTGGGTTCACTTAACGCAGCCTCCAGTTCCAGTCACGCCTCCTGTGTCTCTGAAAGTTAGTTTGTTCCTCTGTATGAGTACTTAAAACTCCATTGTGTATTTATAGCACATTTTAAGTCTACACATATGTAGATTAATATCTGTCCAAGTTTTCTGTACCTGTGAGTTTGACACAGTCCAGGGTCATCTGAGTGAGCCTCAGTTGGGGCCTAGATCAGACTGTCTGATCCTAGGAGATTACCTAGGAGATTATCTCGATTGATTGATGTGAGATGCATTTGATGCAGGTACTGTACCAACTGAGCTATCTTCAAGTTCTATAGTGGCTACAGTGATTTGCATCCCCACAAGAAGCATATGAGAGTCTTCCTCCAAGTCCCCCCGCATCTTCTCCACCACAGCCTTTCTGACCAGGGGAGGTGGAGTCCCAGCATGGAGAAGACTTGCCTTTCCCCAATGACTAAGAATGTCGACCACTTTTTTGTTCACTTCTTTCTGCAATTTGGATTTCTTTTGTGAAATGTCTATCCAGTTCTTTTGTCCATTTATTGATTAGAGGATTTGCTTTGTCGGTGCTTAATTTTATGATTCTTCATATATCCTACGTGTTGTCAGGTGTATAGCTGGTCAATTTCTTTCTCCATTCTGTATGCTGTGTCTTCACTCTCTTGTTTCCTTTGCCTTACAGAAGTGTCTTAAATTCACGGAATCCTGTCTGTCAAGTCTTGCTCATCCTTCTGGAGCTACTGATTCCCCCCAGAAAGCTCTTGCCTATGCCTAGATCATGATGGAACTTCCCTGTTTTCTCTAGTTGTTTCAAAGTTTCGTGTTTTGCATTCTGTAAGGACTCAGATCGATTCTGAATTGTTTTTCTTTCTTTTTTTAACAAGACGAGAGATGCATATGTGGTTTCGTTCTACATACAGATATCTAGTTTTCCCAGTAACATTTGTTAAAGAGGCTGTCTATGCGCCAATGTTTGTTTGGACCAAATTTGTCAAAAATTGCATGTCTGTAGCTTCACGAGTTTATTTCTAGGCCCTCTATTTATGAGGTTGGTCTACATGTCTGTTTCTATGCCTTTATTACACTGTTTTTGTTGCTAGAGCTGTATAGTATAATCTGAAACAAGCAGATAGAGCGATACCCCCAGAGCTGCTCTTTCTGATCTTGCATTTCTCTTAGTAAACAATTTGAATTGAAACTGTGATTTGACTGGGGATTTAAGATAACCCCTTAAATTCTTGACCAATTTGTTGTGTTTTGTTTGGTTTGAGTTTTTTGAAATAGGGCCTCACTATGGAGCCTCGGCTAGGTAGGCCTTGCTGTGGAGCCTTGGCTAGGTGGGCCTCGCTGTGGAGCCCTGGGTAGGTGGGCCTCACTGTGGAGCCTTGTCTAGGTGGGCCTCACTGTGTAGACCAGGCTGGTCTCAAACTTACAGAGATCCACTTGCCTCTGCCTCCTGAATTCTGGGATTGAAGGTTTAATCACCACACCGAGCACCAGTGAACTTTCAGCTCAGCATTCTCTGCCTTTCAATTAGCAAGGCAACTGTGCAGTTAGATACAGGAAATGCCAATCAAAGCAAGGGTATCATGGGAAATATTTCTGTCATTATGTATGATTTGCTGCCCTAAGGTCTTATCCTGTCTTTATTAAAGTATTAAGGCTTAGCTCTGCTGTGAAGGGGATTTTGTTTTATAGGATTTTAAAAATGTGTTTATATGGATAATACAAAGAGCTCCACATGTAACACACACTCAACAAAGTTGGCATTACTTGTTTCCATCATGATAATTATCACTGAATACCTAGGCTGGCCTGTGGACCCTTTCTTTCGTGTTCCTATGAGACTCATGATGAAACACTACACTTGTCATTTATATTGGAGCAGTGGTTTATGTATCAGCCTCCCAAACTAAAAGATTTCATCAAGACAGAGTAGGCCACACCCACTTCTTAGTTGTAAGTACCTGATACTCTCCCTAGTATATGGTATATACATGTTGGAGTTTTAGGAGTCCCTAAAACATGGTATATACATGTTGGAGTTTTAGGATTAGGACTAAAAGATAATTCCTAATTCAAGTCTAAGAGATAATTCCAAACTCAAGTCTAAGTAAGACTTAACATTGAAGTGAGGAGCTGTAAAGATTGCTGAGTGGTTAATATGTATCTGTTGTTCTTGTAGGGAACCCAAGTTTGGTTCCCAGCACACATCAGGCAATTTACAACTTATTCCAGTTCCGGGGCATCTGACAACTTTTGCCTTCATGGACACTACACTCATGTGCACAAACCCAAACACACACACACACACACACACACACACACACACACATTTAAAAATAATAAAAGCTAATCTAAAGCTATAATGTCAGATTTCCGAAATGCTGATTGATAAACAACACATCTCTCTACCGGATCTGTTAAGACTGTAGAGGGAAAGTATGGTCTCACCTGTTTTTAATTCATGATGCCTGTAGAAGGCGAGAGGTCTGTATGCTCACAGACACACGCGAGAACCAGAACTGTTTAACACTTGGGCTTTGTTCTTCAGAGGAAGAGACTGACGCCTGCTCACCTGGACGGCTGGAGTGGATGCTGTCTGATCGCTTAGTGATCGGCCTATGGAGCCTGCCTTCACCAGCTTAGTGATCGGCCTCTGGAGCCTGTTTTCGCCAGCTTAGTGACCGGCCTATGGAGCCCGCCTTCACCAGCTTAGTGATCGGCCTATGGAGCCTGCCTTCACTAGCTTAGTGATCGGCCTATGGAGCCCTGCCTTCACCAGCTTAGTGATCGGCCTATGGAGCCAGCCTTTGCCAGAACCCCCAGGATCCTGAGCATTGTTTCTCAGGTAATAGAATCCATTCTTACACTTGTAAACCTGTCCTCCCTCGCCCCTTATCCTGACCATTGCTGCAGCCAAGAGAACCCATTTGTGTGGAAAAGGACACAGGGACCTTTCTAAAGAGATGTACTTTGCAAAGGCGTTTAAATGTAGCCATGCCAAAAGCTTTGTTGTGAAAATTGTCATGAGGAAACTTTCTCCAAAGTTTTGTGTTTGAATATGCAAAAAATAACCAGCTTGGCATCAGACGCGATATTCAAACCAGCACTTAGCTGGGCTGAACCTGAGTTTCCTTCTTACCTCATTCGGTTGTTTCCTTGTCAGCCATAGTGTCTGCAGGGACCCTTAAAGTGTGTAACTGCTGGAAATTTACACATACTAGTTTCCAAAAATTCTACATCTTAGGGAATGCTGACTCCTAGGAGTTGGTCTGATGTCCAAACATATTTCCTTTAGCCTGTTACATGGAACACAAATTAGTCTCACCTCTACATTACTAATATATAAAGCATGTACCCTTGGGAAGGTTGACAAACCCCAAGACAGCTTTTGATTTTTAAATCAGTATTGTTCCATTTTCCCAAAATGGCAGGCAGTTCCTACTAGGTATCTTTGTTTTCTGAAGTCCCAATGGAGTGGGTTTGGGTATGCAGCTCCATTGGATGAGTTCAGCTACTGAGGGGGCAGAGAAAGCGTCATCCAGTTTCTGTGAGGCAGGTTAGCTTCCCACACTTCTGCTATTCTCTGGGCCGGAGCCAACTCGAGGTCCCTCTTGGGTGCACGCTTCACTGAAGTGTACAGCGCTGTGGGCAGCACTGCCTCTGTTTTTTGGGCCAAGAAATCATGTTCCAGGGACAGCAGTGACTAGCTTAGCTTCAGGACTCCAAGCCAGTTTCTCTTGGTAAACTCAGATAATCTTCCCTGTACATCTTACAAAAAACATGGGACGGAATGAAAGAAAACTCCAGATTCTGTGTTCCTCATATATAATCCAACCAGAATATCGACGTTTAAAAATCCCAGTCTCTTAATTTTGTCTTTTCCTAAAGCTTAATTAAGTTACGTGGGTGTATGTAGTGGACGTTTTCTGACTGGGAGACAGATATTTCAAGCTTTCCTACACAAAACTAACTCCCGAGGGGCATTGACTTTTAAAAGGGACAATGGGCTTCACTCTTTCACTGATAATTTAAGATAATTTAAGTCCTTTTTTTTCTAGTAGCCAGCTGCCCGAGGCTGAAGGTAACTAGTAGATGTTATTTCTTAGTTTCTGGATTAATCCTCTGAAAATGTGAACAATCTAATTGGACTTTTGATAGCATTCAAACTAATTGCCAAGTCTTTGCTCTAAGGTCCAAGATCAATACTCAAATTACAAAGCTTGGTAGAATTAGGAACACAGCAAAACCTGCTGAAAGTGTTTGCTTTGTTTTTTAATTTAATTTTAAAGTGGAAGTATGAATCTAACAGATACCCTATGCCACACAAGGAAACCCTAGAAGTTCCTATATATATATATATATATATATATATATATATATGTTTTTTGTGATACATAGATTCATTTATGTGTTACCTGGCCTTTAATGGCATGTGTTATCTGTGACTGGGGTTTTGGCAGCCACCTGTTTAAACTTTATATACTTAGAACAGTGTAGCTTTGGCACAGAAAATCCATTTTCGAAACCTGAGGTGTTTGATGCTTGTGGTCTGTGCTCATCACAGCGACAATCAGGTGCTTCCCTCTGGACTGGGCACAGCAGATTCCTCTCACTGTTCAGAAGGAACCACGAAGTCACTGGCCATCTCCTTCCAGCCCTTTGCAGACCAGATCTCAAATCCAGCACACTGCGTTAGTGCCTCTCAAAAGGAAGTCAAAAAATGACTTCCTTGTAGGTGTGTGCACTATTCTGAGAGATTCCATTCATATGCAGAAAAGCCAGTGAAAAGCTTGAAGCCCCAAGAACTCCTGTCATAACTTCTCTGCGCCCACAGTGTAGAGTTTTGTGACCAGGCTGTCCAGGTTTTCTGGAAGCTACCTGGCACCAGGGAAGAGAGCACTTCCCACATTTTGCAGTCGGGAGGCTCGCCTACCGACGAAGCTATCATTCTTTCAGAAGAGTAGAAATAAAACTTGTTTCAGTCTTCGCATTTATGATTTAAAAACTAAATCTTTCTGCTCTTCATTTCTATATTTACAAAACAAGGCAAAAAAAAAGCCCTGTAATTATGATTCCTGTGTTAAGATAGGGTTTCTTGAGGGGATGTAAGGGATTATTGTAAAAATTATTTTCTTGAGATACACTTTCCTTTGAACAGAACAAACAGGAAAAGGAACAATGCATGGCCTTTAGTTTATTGTATTAGTCTATCATTTCCTTTGAAATGGAAGGCCAGGTTTTTTGAGGGTTCAGCCTATAAAGGTTGGCTTTGTGCTTCTTTTTAAAATTTTATTATGTCTTGTAATCTAAGCCAAAGGCACTTTGGATTTAGGAGTGTTTTAAAATCGAGTATGGAAAGAAGAAAATGAAGCAGGACTTCTCTCCAGGAGGGCTGCTGTGGCTTGAGCAAGGTTCCTGTAGCTCACACCTGGAGCCTTCTTTCTCACACTCTTTGAGTGCCACCGCATCCCCTGGTCCCTGATGCGGATGCTGCTGCTAAGCCAGTAGAGGCTAGCAACAGGAGTCGCGCCTGGCGCCTGTCTGGCCGCTCCCAGTTCGACCCAGTCTGTGTAGGTGGGCGGGAGGGCTGGGGCTTGAAGGCTGAAGCGGGGAGGAGAGACTGGATCCAGCAAACGCGCTCAGGAGTTCATTGACTGGCGGCACAGAGCATCACCGACCCAGGAGGTAGTGCTACACTTGAGTGTGTGTGTGTGTGTGTGTGTGTGTGTGTGTGTGTGTGTGTGTGTGTGTCCGTCCCCTTCTCCATCCCTCTCCTCAAGCTGCCCACCCTCTCTCCCCCTACCCCGGGAAGGTTGCTTCTTCCATGCTTCCCTTCCCTGCAAAGGTCCCAACTCTGGACCCTTCAGCTTCCTGTCCTGGCTCCATGTGGGAGACTGTACTCTCACCTGGCTTGACCCTCAGACCCAGGCCACGGTCCCCTGTCCACTCTGGGTACCCATCTCTGAGGGATGCGCTGAGGGCAGCCTACATCCAGAACCTGGCTTGAAGAAGGAAACTTGATCCCAAGATGCGGGTTTCGAAACCCACATTTGAAAGGGACCCTAGCAACCCGTGGGAAAGGCGACTTGTCTGGGGCGAGAGGATCTCTAGCTTCTATGAACACCTTCACTAGGTAGCCCGCACCGGAAGGGAGGTGCGGCCAGCCGCTGGCCCTCCGAGTCCCGGGGATGGCCGCTGGGGACCCTTTGGCCACTCAGCCTCTTACCTCGAAAAGCTGAGGAATGTCCCTCCGGGCCAGGTACTCCTTGGCGTCGTTGGTGTTCATGGCTGTACGGCGCGTGCCGTGCCGTGGGGCGCAGGCGGAGAGGCTACCGGAGCTGGGGCTGGCGGGGTGCAGCCCTCACTTGGATGCGCGCAGGCCGGGGTCCCCTCGGCGACTCCAGGGCAGCTGTGCTGTCCGCGCTCCCGCCGCCCCCGCGTCCGCGCGGGTCCCCCAGCCAGCAGCGAGCACCCGCTGCTTCCCGGGCACAGGCGAACACCAACGACGCC